GCTGTACTCACCACGCACAGTACTGCCCCCAGCTCAGATTTGAAAAAAAATCAGTGGATGGTTGTTTTTTCTTTCTTTTTTTTTTTCTGACTGGTCGGCAGACCGCCGACTGGTCGGCCCTACTGGTCGGCTGCAATACGGTCGGTGGTCGGGGTCGGCAGTCGGCAGGGATGCAACCCTGAATGACCCTGAAAAAAAACAGAACATTCAGGGCTCTGTCAACCTCTTGTCAGTTGCTGGCCACCATTCCTTTTGCAGTCACTCCACGCCACCGTGGAGTGAGAGCGTTCACAGCCCGGCAAGAGACGCACAACGACATAGCTTTGGGGGTAGCCGTGGTTTTAGCTGGAGCATTTCCATTATAGCTTAGCTCACACCTGCACTAGGGACAAGATTGCCTTTTTCGACCCTTCCATAAAAGAATGAGAAAAGAAAGCAAAGAATTCCATGGAGACCATGAAGCAGCCCAAGCTGTGCTCACAACCCCCCATCCCTTTCCCACACGGACGCAAACAGACCTTCCCACTTCCACCTCCGACATCAGTTCCAAGCCATTCCACATAAACTTGCATAATGATGCTTAGCGCAGGCCAGCAGGGGTCATCGAAACACAGAAAGAAAAGAGGAGTTTCACAAAAATGATTCGGTCGCACAGCAGAGAAGCTAGCTCTTTTCAGGATCATATTTGCTCCTCCCCCCCCCCCCCCCCCCCAAAAAAAAAAAAAAAAGAATCATATTTGCAAACCTCCTCTAGAATTCTCTATGTTCCGAAGGCACCTGTGTGTCACGTCACAGCAAAGAAGCTAGCTCACAAGGGGGAAAAGAAAAAGAGGGCCATGCATTTTAAAAATAACAACTTGTATAGAGTCTTCTTTCAAAAACAAGTATACCAATCTATAAGGTGGTTTACAGACCGATCTGGCACACCTCTCCCAAGCTAGATTACGGGGAAAAAAAAGAGAGAGAGAGAGAGAGAGAAGGTAGCGTACAGAGTCTACAGACAGATCTGGCATAGAGTTCCCTGAAGGAAACTGTACACGTAAGATGTCGAGAGTGTGGTGGTTGAGTTGAAGCCCCAAGGAAGGGCTAAGGAGTAAGGACGTAGTCCACACCTGGACTTTTTCGACTGCATCCGACCAACATTATCACCAAATTCAGTCGAGAAAGTGCAGGCGTGAGGCTTCCCTAAGCCATTCTGCCAACTAGAGTATGTCTTACGGTCTCTTACCTGACGTGACGCGGACCAAATCACGTTTCGTCTCCTTTATCGGACACGTCTTGATAAAACCGGAGCCTGCGAGGGATGGATGTAATTGTTTCCCAGCAGCTGCGACCTTGCCACTCAAGCATGGCAGAGAGGGCACATCCTTCCCGTTTGCATCCCTCTTTTTCCCCTTACCCCTCTCGACAACTGCCCAGTCCCAAAGGTCAAGAATATTTCCTGCATCCTCCTTCTTTGGTTTTGACTTCAGTGCTTCAGCGGACACTCCCTGCCCATACTGCTCCTTCCATTTCTTTTCCTCCTCCGGTTCCTCCTCCTCCTTTCCATCCGTCTTCTTCCGTTTCAGAACACCCTTCTGTTCAACCCAGCCCTTTCCTTCCTCCCACTTCCACTCACCCCCCTCCTTCCAAACTCCCCCTACAGAAACCCACCTGAAGTACCTCCCTTTCCCAATTTGCACCCAATGATCACCTGGTGTGGCACCTTCCGAAGGATCTCCCTCCCCTTTGCCCTTCAAGAGCTTTTCTTCCTCCTTGCCCTTAGTTTCATCTTCGCTCCACCCTGCCTCCTCCTTGGCTTCGTCCCACTCTTCATGTTCCGACGCAGAACTCTCTTCGCCAGAGCTGCTTTCACTCTCTTCCTCACTCTCGTCCGCGCCCTCCGCGTCCTTCTCCGCAGGGGCACTTTCTTCTTTCACCTCTTTGCTCTCCGTCTCCACCTTCGCTTCCTTCTCCTCCTCTTGGACTTCGGCTTCTTCTGCATCCTTCTCCTTCTCCTTCTCCTTCTCCACTTTCGCCAAAGGATCAAATACCCATTCTCCTTTACGATACACCCATCCAGGGCCCCTCCTCCCCGTCAGAGTCACCCTCGATGGCTCCTTTGCTGCTGTGTCACTGCTCCTGGCCACCCTCCTCACAGCTGTTGAGCTGCCGTGCTTATTCCTGTGCAGCAGTCGATACCTTGTCATCCTCTCCTGCCATTTCCTGTAATTCTCTGTTTCCTGATGCGCTGGCTTCAATATACCCCCCGCAGCGCTTGCACCGCTCTCACTTTCAGCCTGCGCCCCAGCAGTACCGCCAGCCACAGGACCCTTCTTACTGTCCGAAAGGATGCCTCCTAGTGGCAAGCCGCTAGGTGGCCCAAGGATGCCGTCACCCCTTTCCCTTTCCAGACAAGGTGGTGGTACTGGTAACCCTTTGTCAAACATCTCAGTGAGAGCCTCCTCAATCCTGTGACAGATCAAGACAGAATCAACACGTCACACTCCAGATTGAAAGAACAAAACCGCACTCACAAGCAGCAGTATCGAAACAACAATAGATGGTTGAATTTCATATGTGCTCCCTCCTCTCCCCCCCCCCCCCCCCCCCCCTCTCCTCATTGAATAGGGTGTAGCAGCTGATGTGATTGCAACAATCCACATCACCATTAGAAGAACAAGAACAAGAAAGAAGAAGAGTGAAGAACATGAGGACATCGTGGGTTCGAAGTGTATCCACGCAGATGAGTAGAACCAAAATCAAAGCACCTTTACCTCTATTGCAGACAATGAAGCACTCCAACAATGAAACAGATGTACCTCCATAGCAAGCAACATGGGGCATAATAGATCCATTATATCCCCTTTCTTAACCAGCTTTACTCCAGCCTTCTTTGTGGGACCCCTTTTATTTCTTTCACATCCCCTTTTACTGTGCCTCTCACGTACAAGGCTGGCAACATTGATTGTGGTTTAGTGCCAGCTGCCCACATCCCTGTGTGTCTTAACGGCACACTTGGCACGTTATGGAAGGAGGGAGAGTAAAGTGGGAGGTATACTCCCGTTCATTTTTCTTCAGATGTTCAGGTTATATTTTGTCTGTTCTCTTAATGATGCTCATTCATAAGCATTTACTAGCAGCACACAAGGGAAGGGAGGAAGGAAAGGGGTAGGAGGCGGAGTTCTATAGGGAGTGAGGGGCAGGGGRGGGGGAAAGGGTAAGAGGGGGGGRGRGGGGGGGGGGGGGGGGGGGGGGGGGGGACAGTAGGGGAGGAWGWG